TTGAAAGTGGACACTTATATTGGGACAAACTAAAACAGAAATTTGAACACTTATTTTGGGATAGAGGGAGTACAAGCCAGCAACATTGACAAGGTTGTCCACTTTCAGGGTAGGACAGTAAAAGTACCATGTTTATAGACGTTTAAAAAACCGATGATACAATATTATCCGAAGCATTAAAACCAATCCTTCCGTCCCTGAAAAAATGCAAGACTTTATTTTGGGTTCTCCCAAAGAACTGCAATCTTTCCTTTTCTTTGAGAAGTTTCCGATTCGATACTACTTTCCATTGTTTGTCCTGATTAAGGGGTGTTTCAGACATTTTATTAAACTACTCACTCCTCCCCAGTCCATGGAATAGATTCACAACAATTCTTCTATACTATAAATATCACATCTACTTACAATTGTGAGAATAGTCTAATCAATTTCATGAATTATTAGAAACTAACTTATCACGTGCCCCACCTTATTAATTTCCTGGATCCGCCACTGCTCCATCCCAAAATAAGTGTTTATATTTCTATTTATGTTTGCCCCAAAATAAGTGTCTAGCTTAAAAAATTGATAACCAAATTTCTAAATCTACTCTTAAGTAACTCACCAATATTTAAGAGTGGATAAGATAGATAATTAATTAAGGGTAAAGTTGTCATTTGGTTAACTAAAAACTGTACACGACTCAAACTGTGTGGCACATCCATTGTGGACATTTCTTTTCGGATGAAAGGAGTATAAATAAGGAAAGATTTTCATTCCTTGTCTTAAGTTCAAGACGTGATCACGAGTACTCCCTCCAACTCACTGAAAAATGCGATAATCAAAATTTTAGTTGTCCCAAAAATAATGCAACATTTCGTTTTTCATAAATTCTAATTCTAATATACTTTTTCCCCATTAGCATTCATTACTTAGAATTTGGTCATGTGTCGGCCATTTTGTCTTTATATTAAGCGGCATTATAGACATTTGAGCAAAAACATTTTTGTTACGCTATGTCTCAAGTCAAATGTTGCATTTTTTTTTTGGGATTGAGAGAGTAACACCTATTGGAAACGAGTCAAACTAACACAAAAGTAGCAATAGTCGTAAGTGGTAGAACAGGAATCAACTAACCTCCAAAGCATCAAGTCCTTCACAAGCTTGTCTCAACGAATCAAGAACAATATCAGGATCTTCAGAAACTAAAAAGTCAAAAGAAAGTCAGACACGGATATGATAACTAAAGAAATGCTATTGAGAACAATGGCTTCCAAGATATCAAGAAATATAATCGAATTTCAGTGAAAAAATTAGTGTAAACATCTAGTTGGAATTTCTAACAGGGGATGAACAAAACAGCCCATGTATGAACAGTTGTATAGATTCATACCAAAAAAATTTGGATTGATTTTGATTATGCCCAGTTTGAGTAATTTCATTAATTAACAATTGCATCAACAATATATAGGTTACATATAAAATAAAGCCAAAAATGAATATGGTAAAGCTGTAAGATAGGAATAACTCTTTGTCTACAACATTCCCCTCACAGAGAAGCATATATGTTGTCTATATTTCCCAATTTGTCACACAAAAGACAAATATGTGATTCGTGAGGCAGCTTGGTCAAGATGTCAATAAGTTGATCTCATGAGGACCCAAACTGGTATCACAGTCGGTAGTTCACAAGAAATACAGCTACCTTCTCACTAAAATGATAGTCTACCTCGATATGCCTCCTAACCTCGTAAAAACATTGGGTTTTATATATGTGGGTATGAACATTTGGTTTCTATAGGCCTAGAAAAACTTTAATCGAAATAGGGCCATTGCCGAGTGGGTGCATTTAGTGAAGGAGATTGCATGATACTTGGTTTACTTTCTTCAATGCCGATTGGGTTGGCTGTCCTATTTACAGATCAACTACACTTGAATTGTGTGTTTGTGTTGGTCGAGAGGCAATCACTTTTCTTGAAAAAGCAAGAAAACAACACACTGTCACCCAATCAAGCGGACATGGGTAAGGGAACTTCTAAAAGATTTTGGAGTGATTACAGACAACTTGACAAGATGGTATGCCATGTAGCCATGAATCATATATTACATTCGATGACCAAACACATGAGGTTGACTGTCATCTGATTAGAGATTGTGTTGTGGGAAGCGGGAACGTAGACAGGCCCTCCATCGATGCAACTATGCATTAAAACCGAGCACCAGCTTGCAGACATTCTAACAAAGTCTTAGAAAAGCACAGATAGACTTTATTTGCAACAAGTTAGACATGATTAATATCTTTGCTTTCCTCACTAAACTAGATTAAAGCAGCATGTACCATGCCAACATATCATGCCTCATTGCAAATCCAGGCATGTCCATTTCATCTGGTTAAGCTTGTGACAATAATGAAGAGAGTCCCAAGGAAACCTCAATGCCCTCTACCCATGCCTTTACCTAACCTATCTATAAATCATGTACCTCTGTCGGGTCATGTCATTGGATCCTTGTCAAGAACCTCTGCCAAATTGGCATCCACCACCTAAGCCTCAACTAAGGCCTCTAAGGATCCACCACCTAAGCCTCAACTAAGGCCTCTAAGGATCAAAACTCGATGCAAAACCATTTCTAGTTCATCAACGAGTTTCTTGAAATGTGTATATCATCCTCTAAGACATGCATGAAAAAGAGATAGAAGTCAAGCTTGAATATGTGGCTACTAGCAGATCCCAAAAAGAACTTTTGCTGTCCCACAAGACATTACAATGCTACAAACCCATTTCATGGCTGCCTCAAAGGTGCACACATATCACTATCAACAATATGCCACAAATCCAAAATTTATAATATATAATAATCATTTTAAAATTCTTTTCATTAACATATTATATTATTTTAATTTTTCTTTACTGTTTGTATTAATATATTACATTATTGAATATTTGTTTTAATTATATTATAAAATCTTGTAATTGACTAATTTTTTTCAAGATGCCCTTTTTGGTCATTTTACATGCTTAACAACTAGCTTTTGCAAACATGTTTTGTTCATCAGCTAGCATATCAGCCACTAACTTATTAGCCATCAGCTAGCTTATCATCAGCTAGTTTGCTAAACATAGCCTTTATTATCTTTGATTTGACATCCATGTTGATATATTAACAATTCCAATAATGTTTATGTAAGTTACATAAAAATTAAGGTTATACTTATTTTGTTTCATAGATAATAAAATTATGTTAAATGATTTTAACAAAATAATTAATTTAATTATTAATCATGGTTTTTGAAAAATTACTAATTAATTAACATATGAGAGATTGATGAATTTTATTTTTATTCATATTATATGTAATGGTTATTTAAAATCATAAATTAATTTAGATTTTTTTTCTAAAATTTGTTTTAACAAATCCAAAACTTATAATATATAATAATCAATTTAAAATTCTTTTAATTAAACATATTATATTATTTTAATTTTTCTTTACTATCTATTTGTATTAATATATTACATTATTAAATGTTTGTTTTAATTATATTACAAAATCTTGTAATTGACTAATTTTTTTCAAGATGCCCTTTTTGGTCATTTTATATGCTTAACAGCTAGTTTTTGCCAAACATGATTTGTTCATTAGCTAGCTTATCAGCTAGTTTGCCAAACATAGCCTTTATTATCTTTAATTTGACATCCATATTGATATATTTTTTCATCCGTTTTTTCATGGTTTTTCAGTTCTCCCCCCGTCTCACCCCTATATATGTTAAATGAAAATAAAGATGAATATGAATATAAATATGATAAAGAAATGAATGGCTCTTTATCACTAGCAATAGTTGATAGAATGGAGTACCTGAAATACTCATGTCTGATAAGTAACATTTTGCCTCTGCAATATAGGCCCGAGATTGAAGCTCGAGACCACCCTGACCAAGTATAATTGGAAAGGCACCATGAATAAGGTTCAAAGCCCTTTTTGCATGCCTTGATCCAAGCAAGAGCCACAATTCGGCTAGTGTTAAAGTAGCCGAGGCTCTGAGAAGATCCAAGTTAAATGATTGGCAAAAGGATAGGCTTGCCAAAGCATAGGGAATTCCTAAAACAGCATTCCCAGATCTCTGCAAAATGATAATAAGATAAGCTTTTACTACGACATAAGTTAACTAAGAAGTTCGATTTCACATGACGTTAAAAGATGGATGATCCGCAAAAGAGGATAAATCGTCATAGAACATTGTTCCATAGTTGTAACAGTATCACCGAAAGAAAATAAATGATATACATGCCATCAATGGGCCAATCAATTGAGAGATAAGAACTCAGAGGATAAAAAAGGGCATACCTACTGACACACTTACAAAGATTCCAGCCCCACCCACCCTACCTTAGGACACCTCAATGTACCTCCCCCGTGATGGTTGTGACCAGTACGACGGGGGCGCACTCAGGAGGGTAGCGCAAACCCTATTTCCACCATTTATAAAGATTATGGTCTTGGCAGTTTAAATCGCTCAGAAATTTAGGTACAAAAGTTTGGGTCTTTTCTTGGATATACACACACACATACATGGGACTTCCAAAATTACAATATTACAGAACGTACCTTGTGGATTTCAGCAAGCAAGAGTAGAACAGTCGCATTCTCCACATGCAGATTAAATTTGTAACATTTGCAGAAGAGAGAATGTGCTACAGAAGCTGCCTGCACAGTTCAAAAGGCTGGAGTGTTATTTGGCCGATGAAGAAGCACATATCCAAACCATGAGATCCACCATTTTGACATGGTTAGACTTCCAACCTAACATGCAAGACTACTTAACTCAAAAATAATAGATTAAGTACAAAAGTCTTCTTTTGCATCTTATCCGGGTATAAGCATATTTATACATACCACCCATTTGTAATTGAGTAATTGTATATATAATAACTGAAATTTAGTGAAATATGTTTTTCCTTTGATCTAATGGTGTTCCCACTCCATTAGAGAATCATCTTGGACCAAAGAAGCACCTTTTGGAAAACAAATAGCTCGTACAAGTAACTAGTGCATATTTTTAGACAAATACAATGACTGGATCTGCCACCTGAGCAATAGGAGCAAAAGAATGATTGTTATTAAGCTAGCCCAGTGAGAAGAAACAAGGTTTTATGGAAAGCATTTCTTTCATCCACAGAAAAACTGTTGCTACAATGGTGGTCCAAGAACCAACATAGATGAAACCCTACCTAAACTAAATACAACAAAAAAAGAAAAGGAAACCAGAGTTAATGTTCTAACACTCCTCAAGTTGGAGAATAACTATATTCTCAACTTGTCACAAATAAGACTAATCTAAAACCCAAGTAAGGTCCGAAAATGTTGGCAATTTGATCTTAAAAGTGCACCCATACTGGTTCTATAGATGGAGGGTCACAAAGAGCACCTAACACCTTTGTTTGACACACCTTCATTAGACTCGATAATGAATCCCTGGACTCCTGTGTCAAATGAAGAGCTGAACTTAATTCATATGCAGCTCAAGCCGGCACAAAACTCAAGAACGTTTTTTGACCGCCTCGCCTCGAGGTGTACTCCTAAACCAATTTTAGCAACCATGCTTAAGGCACAAAAATAAACCCAACAAGTAACAACACAAATTTACTAGCCTATGCAACAAAAGCAACCTTTAGACTACATGGAGCATATCAATCGCCACGATGCTTAAATATCAACACTTTATCACCGGATACAATCCATGATCAACATTTTCGCGCTCAGGATACTTGAAAAAGGTTGCTTAGAAGATTACATGATACCAAAGATTTCCCTCGAATTTAGACCAACTGTTGTTGAAGAAATATGGAACTCCAAAGACCATCAAGATTGAGTCAATACACCTTCACTCCAAGTGTACTTCATCGTCTCACATCACCTCAGAAATTTAGAAGCTTTAAAATCTGGACAACAAACAAGTTTCAGCATTGCGACTGCCTGTAAAGAATCCAGCCACTTGCTGATTTAGATAGCTCCAAATACATCCAAAGAAAGTCGTTTCATCTCCTTCCACTTAAGTGTGGTTTAAGCATAATACGAACATCAAAAAGAGAATGACAAAAATGGGTCCTGATAATATAACGACATAAGGGAGTTCAGGTAACATCTTACATGAAATGGAAATGTAATGGCAGAAAATGGGGGAGAATACAAATAAGCACAATCATGATGACTATACTCGATTATATGTATTAGTGTTGTTTTACAAACAGTCTACCACTAGAGCAACAAATTACTATAGTTTTGCAAAGACAATAAGACCAAGCACGACAAAATTGGTTTGGATGGAAAAATCAATTCACCTGTTCATGGAGATAGTTTAATTGTTAATACTAAAAAAAGCTACAATGGAGAGATTAGATAACCTGACTAAACTGATTAGCGGCAAGCAATGTCCGAGCACAACGAAGACTTGCTTCAGTCTTGAGCTCCATGTCTACACCAGCTACAGAAGAAGCCAATACTCCAAGTTCATCACATATTTGTTGAGCTAGTTTCAAATGTCCCCTACATGATAGTTACCATCTTTTATATAATGACATCTGAAAAGAATGGAGTTTGATAGATAGGGGAGATTCATAGAGAGATTACCATACCTATGTAAAGCCCGCTCATGAAGCAGCTGCAGCTTAACTGGCAAGATACCAGACTTTGAAATGGACAAAAACTTTGCTTCTGCTATCTTAAGGGCTACAAAGGCTTCTGCGGATAGGATATAATAGTATATTAGAAATCTAAAACCTAACAAGAAACTATGAGAATTGAAGAGAACAAAACAAGACACAGATAGCCCATTTCAAGAAAGATGGTTGACATAAAGACATTGGTAGTATCCTCTTTCCTATATTTGGTTACATGTGGCAGCTGTTTGTTGTGAATGCCCTAAAAGTTCATTATTTAATTGATTAAGTAGTAAATCACAGTTGTATGGAATTCAACTTCTAGGAAGAATCTATTACTTCTACATAACTGGTGCTCTAAAATCAATTCCATTATAATTGACGGATGATGCATGGAGTGGTGGATCACTTTTTTTGTAGGATATTCTCACATCCCTGTAGCCTATAAGATTTCCAACATTTTCTTCTTCCTTGCAAGTTGCTACCTGGAGCTGTCAATAATTGCATCAAAGATCTCGGGGATCCTGTCAATTAAGGGTGTTATCCCTGATTTCCACCTTTCTGTTTTTAGAGATTAATCTATCCTTTTTCTTTAGTTGAAAGGATTCTCCTTATCCTTTCTTTAGTTGAAAGGATTCTCCTTCTTTTTGTATAAATAGCCTTGCTTTGTGTTTTATAATCAACAGGAAAATATATGAAAAGCCTTTTAGGCTCAACTCCGTTTGGTTACTAGATGGTATCAGAGAGTGGTTCCTGATCATCACCTTTCATAGGAAACCTTTCCTTTAACTTCGGTAGATACCAACCAGACCAAACAGCTCTAGTGTTTGGTGAGCTGTTAGCGGGTCTAGTAGCTCCACCACTGATCAAAACAAATCCAACAACCTGTTAGGTCAAACGTTACACACGCAATACGCACAACCCAAAAAACAAGAGAAGAACACAAGAATTTACGTGGTTCACACGATCAGATTGATCGTGCTAGTCCACGGGGGCAACTAGGTTTTTCTTTATTTAGGTGCTACAATGTTTACAAGTACAATGAGATTAATATATATAGACAAACATAATTAGGGTTATCTCTTAATCAAGGAAACTAGGGTAGAGACTAGGGCCGGCTCCTTTTGGGCTAGGGCCGGCTCCTTACTTTATGCCTCCTTCCTTTTGTCTAACTTAGAAGGTCGAAGCCTACATTCCAACAATCTCCCACTTGGAGGCTTCGAAACACGTTCACCTGCACTCCTCTGAACTTCTGTAAACACCAACCGAGCTTGAGCTCCCCTAGTTGCCACCTGCCTTCTCAACATTATTCCTGAAGGCCAGCTGAAGTCATACAGAACTTCAGCTTATCCAGCGTCACAGACTTGGTGAACATGTCTGCCGGATTCTTTGCACCTGAGATATTCTTCAAGTTCATCGTACCATCACTGATCAGTCCTCTGACAAAGTGATACCTCATCCCAATGTGCTTTGTTTTCCCATGATAGACTGGATTTTTAGCAAGTTTCACTGCACTCTCATTGTCACAGTGTAA